ATTTCCCTATAGAAAAGAATATAAAAAAGTTTGCCATAAAGGAATTTATCATCTTTCCTCTGTAATATCCAACACATTCATTCAACAAACTTATTTACCAAACACCCACTGTGTGCCAGAGACTTCCTAATACATGGAAAAGAGACTCAGGGGTTCTATCTTCAAAGACTCACAATGTAGCAGAATATAGTCTTATAAGTTTCTCTAAAAAAACTATTCCTCTGCTGGAAACCTTCCACTGGTGTACCACCACAAAACAATTAATCAAACTCCTTAACCCAGAATTGTTTCCTTTACAACCTAGTCCTGAATGCCCTCTGATCCAAATATGCCTACTTCCTAATCCCTAGACCTTCCAAGGACATCTCTCAATGTATCCTTTCCCTCTGCCTTTTCCTAAGCCTGGAAAACTGTATCAAAACTCTTCTGTAGATCTAAAACATCCCAGCAATCCTTTCAAGGCCCAGTTTCTATTATCTCAGTGAAATGTTTCCAGTGGGCACACTGTTTCTCTAAAATCCCATAGACCATAGTTTATATCATTCCTTTGGCCGTTAAAAAAAAAATGTGACACCCTGTATCTTCTCATAGCCTCCAAAACTACCATAACAATGCCTTGCTTACAGAAAGTGCGTATTAATTATCTTATTACCAATTTACTTAATTAACGTGGGTATATAAAATGATCACCCCATGAATAAAGGTAAGTGTCTTCTGGGGCCAGTCTACTAATTCCAACCTAGTCTTGTAGTTGGTCTGTAGTCCTGAATCGAGGACTTTCAGCTCCGTAGAAGTGTAGTATAAAAGCAGAGTTGAAAGGCTAAGTGACTTCACTTTTGATCTGCCAAGTCCTACCTGAATCCAAACACAAACAAAAACAATCCAAACCAACAAAAAGCCAAATAAAGTGAAAGGTGACTATAACCATGAAGCACCAAGGTTAATGTGATAGCTCTGAAAAAGCACAAATCACCATGGTTTTAAGTGGGAACCAACTTCCACCTCAAAAATCAATTGCTGAGAGTGATAAACTAGGGAGGTACAAGATCTCAAAGATTTTTCTCCTCTGCTAGAATGTCATGGGTAAGTAAGAAACTCATTTTCGTCTCAGTAAGTTGTTGGATGAAATATTTCCAAATATCTAATAAAAGAAAACACTACTGTTGCATTTAGCATGTTGTGGTTTAAGTTTCTGCTTACTAATCTATACCTGTTTAAATTCTGACCTCAAGAGAAAAGAAATAAAGAACTTACGATATACTTATCTTTGTATATCCCAGTCTAACAGCCTGGCACACTGAAGGATCCAAATGCTTTAAATTAATGAAGGCACTCCACCTTAGGTTAAAAATATGTTCAAAATGCCAACAACCAGTTAAAAAGTAATGGAAAGAGGTTAAATGATACATGCAAGTGTCAACTGCCTGTTAAAAAGTAATGGAATGTAGAGGTCAGATGCGTTTTGTATTTAACAGTTCAAGAACAGTCTGTAGCATTTCTTCCAACAGAACCATTTCCAATAGATGATATGTAAAATGCTCTAGGGAACTATTCCATTATGTCCCTAGTGGTATCAGTCATTTCTACTTTTTTGATGGGGCTTTAAAATGTGGGGAAAATCCTTTCTTGTTTTTTTGTTTTTTTTTTTTAAAGATATTTTTACTATAGGGCACATGCACTTGCCGGAGAGGCAGAGATAAGACAAAGAGAGTGAGAGACAGAAAGCGAAAAATCACCAACCCCAGAGGAGATGACCCTGCCACAATCCCTTCTCCTCCATTCTCTTCTCAGGGTTTTGGGCATGCACGCACACACACCCAGCACAAGTTTTTTTGTTTTTTTTTTTTGTTTTTTTGAGAGGTTTTTTTCGCTATAGGGCGCGTGCGCCAGACAGAGAGAGACATAGAGACAGAAAGCAAGAAATTACCCCCCAGGGGGGATGATCATGCCGTAATCCCTTCTCCATTCTCCTCTCGGGATTTTGGGCACACACGCACACGCGCCAGGTGTGAGTTTTAAGCCACCGGGTCCGGGACATGAACCGCGGTCAACTACGTGGGAGTCCAGCGACACAGCCATTACGCTAACTGCTGGTTCCTACCCAGCACAAGTTTTAAACCACCCCATTCGGGACTCATACCATGGTCAACTATGTGGGAGTTCAGTGACATAACCATTATGCCATCTGCTGGTCCTCCTTTCTTGCTTTTTTATCAGGTTCTTTTCCAGTGTCCCTGCCCCAGTTTTAATTGGTTTTAGCTTTTTTATTACCTTTAAATCATTAAAAAATAAAATAAAATAAAATAAAAACAGGAAGTCAAGTAGAGTGATGATTAAAGAATCAATGGTTTTGGATCTGAGTGGGGGAAGGTGCATGTGTACTTCAAACTGCCTCCAATATTCATCAATCCCTGTCAAAATTAAAAGGCACCATGAAAAGGTAAAAGTACTGCACACAAAGTGATAAACATGTATGTGTACGTATCTATAAAACTGAGGCTAAATAAAAAAATTTTGGTATGAAATTGTTTTGTGTTATTTATTATTTTTTTAAAGCATAATATATTGGATGGATATTGACGCTAGGGGGTAGGAGGAATGGCTCAGAATTTGACATGCATTTGCCGAAAGAGGTAATATACACATCCTCATATACAAGACTTTAAGACTATAGGGGTGATAAAGGGAACATTCTGCAATAGCTCAAAAGTAATCAAGTTAAAATCTGTTAGGCATTTACTAAGGAAAAACAGATAAAAATGAGCTACTTATAGTTCTCTTGTGCACTCTTTGTCTAGAAGTACATACAGCAGCTTTGAAAAACATAAGGGAAATAGTACCAGTGCTGATCTTGCCAAGGACATGAATTTAAAGAAACCCCAACTAGACTTAAGCATACAAATTTATCAACAGTCTGTATACCACTAAGGTGATAACTAACCCAACAGAAACAAAACCAACAAGCCTATACAACCAGCCCTACTACTTTCAATCCTTCTGCATCTCGTCATACTTTCTAAGTATTTTCAAGACAGTATTAACATGATTAAGCAGGAGTTTGTTCTCTTAAAGCAAACATTCTTCAAGAGAATGACTGGAAAGAGAAAGGAAGGAAGGAAGGAAAGAAGGAAAAGAAGGAAGGAAGGAAGGAGTGCCAGGCTGTTTTCTGACCCAACAATCCACCTCTACAGATAATCACAGGCAAATAAAAACATCTGTAAGAAAAGAATGTTTACAGGAACATTTTATCATACTGAAACAGAAGCAACAAAAAATGCCATTAGAACAATATGTAGCTATTGAAATTAAAGAGCTATAGTAAATGACATGTAAGTTAACTAAGTTAGAAAAAATCTTTTAGATGATAGAACATGAAAAATAAAATATATTGTATATGTTATCTGTCCACAAAATTCAGAAATATCTTTGGAAGAATTAACTCTGAGTACTGGGATTTTGAGACTTTTTCACTTGCTCTTAAACATTTTTTTTCACAAATTCACAATGATTTTGCATCAGTTTTATAACAAAACTTTTTTTTTCTTTTTTTTTTTAAAGGTCATACTATCTTTAGTAAATGAGGTGGGTAACTATGTAATGCCCAGTAATTGTATGGTTTAACCTCTCTGAAAGGCAATCATATGTTATCACATTTACAAACGCATTCATTTTGTCTTAGCAATCCCAAATACAAGTATTTATGCTACAGCTATTCTCACATAAGTGTGCAAAGACACGTTTTTTGTTCAAGAATAATAATAGCATTGTTTATATTAGCAAATATAATGGATGTGACCTAAATTCCATCAACAGAGACTAAATTTTGTACATGCATACAATGAAATACTGGATAATCATGAAACATAGCTCAGAATAATGAGGTAGATTAGTGTTGGAGTTGAAAGACACTTAATATTCTTTAAAGTTAAACAAAATCAGAACAGAATGTATCAACCAAAAGGGAGAGAAAGGGAAAGAAGAAAGGATACACAGGCAGTATGCTTGTATCTAAGACTAGTCTCTACAAGGACACAAAACTGGAGTGTGCCTTCTGGTAAGAGGTTGAGATACCAGAGATAATTGAGACTTATTTTTCATTGCAAACACTGTTAACTAATTAATTTGTATTGTTTGAATTTTTTAAACACCTATGTATGCTAGTTTTAAAATTTTAATAGCTTTTTAAAATCAGCTAGTGAATTATTTTGAAGTATAAATAGATTTAAGAAAACTAAGCTTTTCAAGTATCTATATCATGCTATAAAAACCGCTGCTTCTAAGAGTTTGAAAAATGTTTTAATTATCATTTGCTTTTAGTTTATTACACTCAATGAAAATTATATACAATTGTAAATGTGAGCTCTTCTGGACAAAGGCATTTTACAATGCTGCTAACCAACCAATGCTGTTTTGCACTCTTGGAAGTAAAGCAGTTTTTAAAAATCTTACATTTTAAAACACGTTCTACAGAAAAAGATTTTGTATTGACCACAAATATGGACAAAGCAACTGATTTTCTCCTTTCCCACTGATATTAATCCTTCCCTGACAGAGAAACCAATAAATGCCTTCCTTGAAGAATCAAGATGATTGACTCACTAAATACAGTGGTTTCTATCCCAAGATTATTATTTTTTAAATAGAAAAGGTAAGAAAATTGTGTACTACATTCAACTATGTTCCAAACAGATTAAATGCAAGCCTAAAGTTCAGATTAAGTACCACTAACACACTACATAACTGTGGAGAACCCATTTCCCAGGAAATGGAAAGTATTCTAAATAAGAGAGAAAATGCTGCTTAACACAGCGACAGAGGTCTTTTATCACATGTATTATTAAATGTCAGAGGAACAGTCAACCAGATTATACTGGAAAAGTTACCTAACCAAAACAGGTCTGTCAGTGTTGGCTTACTCAACACCCATGCTTATAATTATGTATTTAACTTCCTGAAAATAAGCAGCAGACACTTCAAAAATACAAAGAAGCTGAACTCACCTTTAACACTTTTTCTATTAACATCTGCCCCCTTTTCAAGTAAATACTGAGCAATCTCTTTATGTCCTTTGTAACATGAAATCATCAGGCATGTATGCCCATGTCGGTTTGACACTTCCAAATCAGCTTTGTGTTCTACAAGGTACTTTACTATTTCCAAATGGCCATCAAAGCAGGCAGCTCGAAGGGGGGTGGAATTGGTTAAAGTCGTGTTGTTGACTGATGCTCCATGATTTAACAAAGACTGGACCACCTTCAGATGTCCCGCTGCTGAAGCAGCCCAGAGAGGTGGCGCCCCTTCAATGGTTTCACCGTCAAAATTGACAGAACCCCCAACTTCGATGGAGGCACTGCACTGCTCCAGGAGGAACTCCACCATGTCAAGGTGCCCATATCTGGCGGCCATCAAGAGTGGCGTGGCCCCATTTGTTTTTTCAGAGATCAAGGAGGAAACCTCCTCTTTGGATTTGCTCCCCAGCAACTTGGTGAGAAGACGGAGTTTGCCATCCCGAGCTGCGTTAAATACTGCTGTCTTTAGATCCATTTATGTCCGGTTGAGAGGCTGTGCTTTTTTTATCCTTCAAAGCAAAGCTCCAGCTTAACTCTCTCGATGGGGACAAGAGTAACAGGAACCAAAGTTCAGCGTTAATTACCGCACCGCAGAACGGATATAAAACCACCGACAGAATGTCCGGTCCTACTGCCTTCCAACATCGACCACCAGAGCAGCAAACTAGAAAAGGAAGGAAGAACAGCATTTTGAATTTTCCATGGGTAAAGGCAATAACGGTGTGTAGGTTTTCCTAATTTACACTTCTGCGGGAAGGAAGGAAAACGTACTTTAGGGACTACTTAGCTCTCTTCCCCCAAAAGAGATGCGAAACAAAAACAGAGACGTGTCCAGAGACCCAAATGTTTGGGTGGGAGGCAGCGGCTTCCCGGGTGCGGACCAGCTTTCTCGCCCCCCGCTCCAGCCGGGCAAGCTTTGTTCTGGTCCGGCCTGCACACGCCCAGGGAGGGCCCGGCCGGGGCCGGGGCTCGGAAACCTTCCTCCGCTCGCCCTGCAGAGCAGAGCCAGCCAAGGGCGCGAGGCCGCAGGCCTCGGCGCGGCCGGATGGGGTCCGAGGAGGAACAAAAAGGTCGCGCACACAGCCTGGCCAGGGGGGCCAGGCCTCGCTGGAAAGGCGCCTCCGTCCCGAGCGCTCGAGGCTCTGGGGAAGCCCGGCCGCCTTTTAGACCTTAAATTCGCCCGCCAATTCGGATCCACCCCCGGGATCCACGGGCGACCGCGTCGCCCCTACAGAGCCCTCACCTCCGCCGTTTCT